GCACCATGAATCAAATCACAAAAAGGCTCAAGAATGTGATGACAGTATGAAGTTGTCATCAGCAGCCACACTACTGCCTAATGGTACAAACATTCACCTGGATTAGCTTCTTATGAGAAGACTTACTATGGCATTAAAATTCTTTCTTATGTGAAGAATTGTCATTGTTTGGTTCTTTAGTGTGAGCCCTGAAGACTGTTACTGCTTAGAACCATTATATTGTACAAATATATTTGTGTGCTGTTTATTTGTTTCAGAAACTAGTAACTATTTATTTGCATGCTTGCCAAGTTATTGATTTTTTTTCTCTAATTAGATTGTGGTTATGATGGTTAATTTACTTTTTTATAATTGCCAATCTTATAAAGGAGAAAAATGATATTAGTTTCAGCTTTTAAAATTGACTCATGTGTCGAGCATGTTAGATGTGGTATGTATACTTCCATTATAACAAACTAGAATCCTATTGTATGTAATACTAGAATAGCTGTGACAGTTTGGTTACCAAGTTACCAATGAATGCCTTGAAGAAATATGGTGGTTATGTCTCAGGTAATCCTTTTTTATTTGTTTGAGAGATCAAATGCTCTAAACTTTGTATAATAAAAATGCACAATATTAATGTGCCTATGCTATGAATGTGAAAAAAGGTGAAAAAGTGGAAAGAACAGAGAAAGAACACCCAGTATATCATTTATATTAATTTTGTGTCACATTTTGAGAATGCTCAGTCTTGATCATTAGACTACATACTAAATCTGCCTTGTTATTAAGAATCTGATTACTTAATTAGAAATGTTTGAGTTGTTCTCCATTTATTCACACAGGGTATGTTTGCAGTCTATAATCCTACCTTTTCTCTGTTTACTTTGGAGGATTTAGATGTTAAAAAAATGTTAAGCAAACTTGCATTGTGGTGAATGTCGTTTATAAAATGCATGGCTTGATTTAGAAGCAATGTTAAAGAAATATTAAATATTTGCACTGTGGTCAATGTCAAGTTTATGAAATATAAAATTTCTTTTCTTTATAGCAAACACGAAGTAGAAATGATACTAGACATAAAGGATAATTAGTAAAGAGTGGTTTTTATGTTAGATATAATTTACATCACTTTGGAACCGATGAAACTTTTTATATATATATTGATTGAGAGGAGGTAATTGTATAGAGAAAGAGCCACATTAACAAAGTCATCATCAGTAGATGATAGTCTACCATAGGCAGTATCTTGAGCTTTCTACTGTCAGTGATATGAATATTAAATTTTTGTACCAATTTATAATTTTGTGTAAAACATAACAATTACTGACATAAATATTATGAGATACTGACTTTCTACTGCCTGCTAAATAGCTAGGTCTGTTCCTAATATCTGTACCTCCTCTCTTCCTAAGGTCCATTTACAGTTTCATCATTTACATTATGATAATGGTGATCAAGCTTACGCAATAAGTTATTTGCTGCCACAGGTGTTTTATGTTTTGGTCACATTATGCAGCTAATATTTGTTAGAAAATAATGAAATAACAAGATTTTAATTGATTTTTTTTTGTTCTTGAATAGACTTATTATAACCTATGAACACTAGTTGTCAGTAACTAGTGATCCAGACTTTATATAAATCAGTCAGCTTTGTATCTATACAAGAAGAGCTTTTGGGCAAATTTGTGTGTGGTTGGGATATTTTCAAGTTCCAAGTGTGAAACTGTTTGCATATTCTATTGTTTTTTTATGTCAATGTAGACACTATGCTCAGCAGTCATTTTGATAGCGAGCTTCCATTTCTTTTGGTACTGAAGAGTGTGGCAATTCCTTTATTAAAAATAGGAAAAAAGAAAAAAAAAAAAGAGAGAAAAAAAAAGGAAATTGTATCAATATCAGGGGACAAACTAAGGCTGTCAACATTGGCTGTCATCTGGCAGAAGTAGGCTGAAATAAGAAATTATTAAATCCCTAGCATATAAGTGCATGTAAGTGTAGGAGAGCATGATCATTGTGGGAGAAGTTAATGACACGACAGTTCAAGCAATTCAGTGATGATGCAAAAGAGGATTAATAAGGAAAATTTTCTCAGATTATTCATAAAAATGTTTATTCAGCGAGGACATTTCTGCTCTGTAATAGTATGTAGTATGACAGACAAGCTTCATGATTAAGAATAAATTCTTTAGGATATAAATACAAATGGTGAAACTTGAATAATATACACTATACAGTATATATATTGAAAAATTTCTGTTTTGTCAACATCTAAGGTCATTAGCGTTTTTTTCAAAACATAATGATAGGGTGAGGCTTGCGGGCTCCTGGGAAAAGTTTCTTGTTTTTTTGGCTCAGGAGTTTAAGGGTTATGTCATTTTAAGAAGATAAATTGGCTATTATAGATGCATTTTACAATATTTGTATTAGTAATGTAATATTTCTGGTATATATAAAATTTCAAAATTTATTTAAACTAAATAATAGTTACGTAAAAAAAGAATTAAAAAATCAATTTTAGATAGTATAGAATTGCCATAGACCAATCATTCATCAAAACTTCCGAAGCATATTATGCATTTGAAGGTATATTCTGGGTTGGGTGATGGAGTTAAGATAGATGCACATGCTGACATGGTAATGTGAGGTCAGTACTTCACATCATTATTGACATTTTCTGCACTACATAGCAACCCATTTGCATTTTAGTATTTATTTTTTAGCTTGTTCAATTAAATGGCATCTGTTGTTGTAGCTAGTGGAAGGTTTCACAAGGAGACAGAGAAAGAAGGAAGCTCACTTAGAGCAGATGAGGAGGATCTCTACCGTGATGGCTGCCAGAAGTGGTTTACATTGTGATGTCATTACAGTCAGTTAATATTAATGAATTACTTTCATGTAAGAGTTGTTCATGCTTCTAGTGCAGACAGTTGTATATTGGTCAATTTATGTTTTTTCACTTATTTAAAGTTGCACAAGAGGATGTGTAAATTAGGCAATTGCAATTCATCATCATATGTAAGAGATATGTATTTTAGAGCAATGTTGAGGGTGAAAAATATTTAGCTGAACCAGTCATGAAACTATACCAGGCATTTCTGTATGTAAAGAATTTTATTATATTAGTAAATCCAAATGTAGGTACTGTGACACCTACCAATCTCAGCCTAGTGCAGTTTCAGGAAAACTCACTATATGAGAACAAAAATAGTACTCAACATTTTATTAACATGGAGTAGTAGGGGTCCAGGCAAAATTTGATGTTATGAGGCTCAAGGATCACAAACACATTGCATTAAAATATATGAATGTCCATATAATACTCATATCAAAATTGCATATGAAATTTGTATAGTTTAAATCAGTCATCTGATAGACCATGGAGATGTAGACTGCAGTACATTTTGTCCTGATAAACAAGTACTGCTTGTGTTTTCCCAATTTCTAATTGTGATAGGTTCTTTAGCCTGCAATCCTCCCAAAACCTAGCTCATTGTCGTCGTGGGAGGGCTTAGGAGATGGGGACTGAGACCCAATGTAGAAGATTACCCCTACCTTGGGCCTAAGCCCTTGCCTCAACTAATTTTGCTTGGTCCTTTCTTCTCTTCTTTCCTCTTCTGTATCTTTATTCTCTCCTTCTCTGTGAGGGCCCTGCTGAAAGGTTGAAAGGCTGGCTTTGTCTCAGTCACGAACGGCCTCCGGCAGCCATGGGCATGGTATTCCCTTGGTTAATTATTTAGCCCTTAACCCATATGGGGACCCTAAGGGGTAGACCATTTCTTTTCCCAGGTTTATTCAGGCTCACCATGGCCAGTAATAAAGATTCCTTACCCTTAATAGAGGCATAAAGGCTTGCTCCTTCACCAAATAGCCTATCTGAATTTGATTTTGATGGTTTTCTGATCTCTGCCCCTCCTTTGACCACGGCTCCAACCACTGATGCTAATACCCCTTCTTTGACGCTTACGAGAACAACTCAAACCATTCTGAAACACCCACCCAGGTCATTACTAAACCCCTAAAAAATACCTTTTCCTCATCCCCAACACTCCTCTTCATCCCCTACTACACAACCCTCTTCAATGTCAACCCCCCTCTTCCCTTATTACTACTCTTCATCCATATTGTCCTCCTCCCTGCAGAACTACTCCACTTCACACTACCCCATCTTCCTCTCGCCGTTGTTCTTCTACTACCTCTACCTCTGCAAACCTTCTGGGTACTCCATTTGGCCCAGCCAAGTGGGATCAATTCTTTGTGATTCCCCCCACAACCCCCTATTTTGAGAATACCCTTCTCTTTCAACAGTGCCTCCCGAAACAAGTTGCCAAGGTTTCCTTTCGCAGTCGCTCTGATCGTTCACGCCTTGTCACAGTTACATCTGAAGCTCAAGCTTGTGCACTATCTACCCTAATAGACCTTACTGGCAAATCCATTCCTGCCGAGCCTCACCCAACTCTTAATACTTGGACTGGAACTGTTTCTATTCCCCCAAATGCTTGTCCCATGTATAACAAGGACTGGTTAGACTGTGAAAATGACCTACTTTCCTGCCTTGAATGATACAGTAGCAGTACAGTGTTACACTCTTCTTCCAAGAGGCCAACGTAAATCTCACGTCAATATTGCCAAGATTAGCTTCCATAGACAAGACCTCCCCCATGAGGTTTATATTGGTGGATTGTCTTATCATGTCCGACAATATCAACCCCTTCCTCGTCAATGTCACAAATGGTGTTTTGGCCACCCAGCCAAACATTGTCGCTTGACAGCCCGCTGCCCTTGTATGTGCCCAACCTGGTCATGACCGTTCAAATTGCTCTGCTCAGTTACATACATGTGCCAATTGTGGAGACTCCCATAATGTGTTTTATAGGAGCTGCCCTGCCTATAAGTTTGAATATGATGTAGCGGTCTTCAGATTTAAACTAGGCCTCACTCTACGTGAGGCCAGACAGGAAGCATGATGACAAGGTTTTTCTCTCTCAACTTATTCCAAAACAGTCCTATGCTCTGCTCTCCACCATCTACACAAGATATTTCTGCATTTCACCAGGTATCTTTTCCCAATACCCAAAACCTATGTCCTATGTCTACTCACCCTATCCACAAGTCAAATCCATTTTCCATCCCAAATCCAGATATTCCAATCTCTACCACTTCCCGGAATCCCCTCCCTCCTCCTCACTTAAGTTGTCATACCAGACAACCTAAACGTTCCACTCCACACTCTCCTACACCTTCCTCTTCATCTGCTCCTCAGATATCCATCTCCTCTTCTCCTCCTTATAAGAGAACCTTTGTTTCTCAGTCCTCTATACCAAATTCCCCTCCAGAAACCCTTGAAGACATCCAAAACTTCCTAAAGATGACCCAAGGGAACATCCGCTCCCTCATCCATCCCCCAATCCCTCTGTTCCTACTTTGCAGATATTCATTGTCCTCCTTCCCAAGTTATTACCTCTTCCTTTCCCCCCTGCCCCACCCTCTCTACCACTTGAAAACACATGAATCCTCTCTATCACAACATTGTCCTTCTCCAGACCCCCTTTCTCCAAACATTTTTCCTAGCACTCCACCTTCCCCAGTCTCCCTTTCTCAACCCCTGGATTCTTCTCCTCCTACTTCTCCAACAGCCACCTCTGTTTTCCTTGATCAGTGTCCCTACTCATTCCCCAGTCACAGATACAATACAATTAATTTAATCGATCTACCTCCTTAACCTTTCCCATTTATTAATCACTGCTCTACTTCATTTACTTCCCTCCTTTCCCTTTTATTACCATACTTTCCTGTAACACCCTCTAATCTTTGATATTTAACACCATCCCCTCTCCCTAGATTTTTCTCTTACTCTATTCTTCCTTGAAAAGTTTTCCATACCTTCCCCAGTGACAAATACACTATAATTCACTCAATCGCCCTACCCTCCCCTTTATATTAATTTCTGCTCTAGTTCACTTGCTCCCCTATTCCCCTTTTCACTACCATATTATACTATAACATTCTTAAACCTTTGACATCTAACACATTTTATCATAATCTTTAACTCTCCTTTGCCCTTTCCGACGCAATACTTTACCATAGTGCTATATGACCTCTGCTGTGTATTACATATATTTTCAAACATTAAACACACCCTACTATTGAAAAGGGAGTCAATATGTTTTATTAGATATAGAAATATTTTTTCATGACATTTCTTTAATTTCTTCAAATTCAGAGTAAGCCTATTGGCCAGTAATAAATGCTTGCCAGGCCACATGAAACCTGTAGACTGCAGAGCCTACAATCGACAGCATTATTTCACATAGACTAACCTAAATAAGGAATCAGTGTTGATTATATGGTTAGAATTATATGTAGTAATCATTTTTTTTCAGAATAAATTTAGGTTTTAAAACTTCTCTGGATATTGCATACGGAAATATAAATAAATACTATTAAAGTAAATACTGTTCAGTATGCTGTCAATTGTTTTTGAAATATTTGTTTTTTAATTGAAATCTATAATTTTAAATATAGTGAATTCATATCACTAAGAGAGCAGATTTTTTATTCCAA